CTTTAATATTCTATTTATTCTTCCCATTGAGAATGAGTTTTCCTAATCCCTTCTTAATGCAGTCAGGAGGAGAGTAAAACAGAGGATAAGAACATCAGCATTCCCTGAGAAGCTGATTTTTTTTTTCTCATCTGGAATGAGAAAGCCAAATCTTGCTGTGAAAAATAACCTTACCTTAAATGTCTAACAGTTTTAATGCAAGAACCTTTTGCTTTATTATTGTCTTATGGAGCCTGGTTCTGATAATTAGTGTAAAAACAAAACAAACTGCATAAAGACTTGAACTCTATTTAGCACAAGGGCAGCAGGTGAGAGAGAGAGAAAAAAAGGAGAGAGAAAAAAACAGATATGATCATTTGGAAGCAAGTGGGGACTAGACGCAGGTAATTTTTATACAGCTCTATCTTTGCACTTCATAGTCTTTGCTAAAAGAAATTGTTGTTTCCCTATTTAGCATATCAGCCAGGTTTCTTTGAAGGGTTACCCAAGAGTCCTTATATATTTGGTTAGGAGGAAAACAAAGCTAAGAATGTTATTCAATTTCACAATGGAAATCAATACTACCTAACATTTTACAATGATTCAAGACAAAATATAGAAGCCAGAAAGGATGAACAGATCTATTTTAAATAATGCTAATTCTCAGAAATTCATGGAAGAAATATATGCTCCCAAAGTTTATTTAGCCGTGCTAGGTGTTTAACTGGAAACATAAGAAAATTTTATTTTCTCTAGAAATCCTTGCAATATGTTTGAAGCTTCACTAGATTTTTTTTTTTTTTTTCAAATTCAGGAATGAAATACCACAAAACAATTGCCAGTTACTGTCAACTAATGTGATTGTATATGTAGTTAAAAATTTAAAAAGTATTTTCTATTATCTTCTAAACATTTCAAGAAGTTCTCATTTTTATGTTTATTTTCTAATTAATGTATTAAACTAGATAAATGGTAGGGGGTATGTGGAGTATGTGTGTGTTTGTATGTGTGTGTGCATGAAGTACAGGGAGAAAGAAAGGAGAGAGAAAACTAAAACGTGGATCATTATTATTACCTTAGGGAACATAGAAACTTTTCTCACTTAAAATAATGTTCTTGTTATTGGAAGATTTCCCCAGGCATTCCACTGATTCCATTTATGCTTTAAAAATACTACTTAAAGCTCCATTTATTACAAATAACATTCTTCCTATTTTTAGACTGTTGCCTTCCCTGATATTCATGATCTATTTTGGGGAAAAGATCAACTAATTAGGGATATCACCTGATTGTATCATCAAGAGGTCTCTAGGGAAAGGCAGAAACCAATAGACAACCTGACGGAACTCTCCCATAGACATGACACTGGTCTGAATAACTGCTCAGCATAGAAGTGGACACCATTGAGCACAAGTTTCCACATCCAGTAAGGGACTAGGTCATAGTAGCACATCAGAGACAGTAAATTAGGTAGAAAACCTCCAAAGAAGATGTTCTTAACCTGCTCCACAAATGATTTAAAATCAATAGGAAGCTGAAACAGAGTTTCTTGACAAAGTGAAATTCATAATCATCTGTTGAAGCAAATATTTTAACAAAAGCTTTATTCTTCACAAGATTTTTGGCCTTAATTTAGTAAAACTTTTAGAAACTATATTAAGGTTAAACGAAAAAAAATTATTGCAATTGTTATTAGTACAATTATGATTATTGATTAGTGCTTTTTATGCTGCTGCTGCTGCTGCAAAAAAGAGAAGATTGGCTTGTGCTCTTGCTACCTATTACTGCAAACTAATAATAAAATCCTAATCTTAGTGGTTTAAAACAACAGTATGTTATTTCTTATAACACTGTGGATTGAGGAGGCTCAGCAGGGCAGTTCTTAACTTTTCATCAGTTGTGTACTGAGATGCATGGCCCTCAAATCCTTTCCCTATCTTCTTTACTTATAAATCTATACAGATTCTTTCTTACAGTAAAAATTGAATATTCATTACAATTTGAACATTACCTAGAAAAACGCATTTGTTATTTATGGTATTTCCTCTCCCTAAAATATCCTTCTCATGTCTCAGTTACTTAGAATAGTAATTTACACAAAGCAGGTCTTCATTACTGTGTGTTACATTAGATTGAGCACTTTGCTTAGATTATTAGCACACTTAGGCATTTGATTATCACTTTTACATAAAAGCATCTGCACTCATATTCTTATGATTTAGATTAGATTAGATAATCCTGAAGCTAAGGATTTCTAACATATTTGAAGCTTTCTAAGTGGTAGGATTCTGATTGTTTATTTTAGAAGACAAAAAATGGTATTTGAAATAACTAATAATAACAGCTAATATTTATTTGTCTTAATATTAAGTATAATATTAAATATATTTATATAATACTGATAAATTACAGTATTGATATATCATATATTCATATCCGATATATGTATTAATATACTTCTTATATACTAATTAGATATTAACATATTTATTAGCTAAATAATATATTAATATAGGAACTGAATATATTAAGTTCACAACTTAGTATATGTTATGCATACATTAAGATAAAATATATTATCTTACTATATGTTAAGCTATATAGTCAGGACTTGACTCCTGGATCACCTCCAGATTCAATATTCTTAATCACTGTGTTATGTATTATGTTGGTGCGAAAGTAATTACGGTTTTTGCAATTAAAGGTAATCCATTAAAGATAATAGAAACAAGCAGCAATTACTTTTGCACCAATCTAATAGTTGGAAATGTAAAGCAGCACTCAAAGAAACTGGCAAGAATCAATAAATTACTTCTTTTTTCTTCATAAAAGAAGTGCAGTGCAATCTTGTGGGAGTATCAAACAACACAGTCTTTATAAATATAATGCATTTGGTGATTAATAGTTTGAATGGTACATTATTTCCATTTTTAGGTCACAAAATTTGAATATGGACAATTTCATATAATTTAAACTAATATTAAGAGTAAAATTGAAGCTATATATATAATATATAATAATAATAGCTAACATTTATTTATCTTAATATTGTTAGGTATAATATTAAATAAATTTATATAATACTAACAAATTATATTACTACTATATCATATATTAGTAATATCAATATATGTATTATTAATATATTTCATATATACTATTAAAAATATTACATATATAGCTATAATTTTAATCTTAATATTAGTTTAAATCTATATACATATATATATATACAGAGAGAGAGAGAGAGAACTCTAATTGTCAATTCCCTTTCTTTTAATACCATGGTACAAAAAACGGAAATAAACCAATTTTAGATTTTTAAGTTGCAAACAATGTTACAATAATTATTACATTGTTGGAAATAATTAGTGCCATATTCAGAAGGAAGGTCATCCAAGTGATAGCAAAATATTATAAAGAGACTCATCAGTTCAATTGTGTTCTTCATAGCTAGTGATAATAATTTAAAAGAAGCTAAATTTACTTCCTTATTGCTATAAAATGGATCTATTTCCACAAAATCTTCAGAAAAATAAACATTTTCCTGAAGTTTAATATTCACAACTGAAGAACAAATCCTTACAGTAGGTATTTTGAATGTATTTATACATGTAAGTGTGTACATATGTATAGGGGAGGGTATGTGTATTCTGAAGGATCACATTAATAAAACAAATCAGGAAAAATGATAAGCAGACCTGAGGGAGACAGTTCCTCAGCTAGGGAAGTTTAGCTCGCTACATGACTGTCAAGAGGCCTCACCAATTGGCATTATTTTCATGAATTTGTCTCACTGCAGTGTCTAGCATTCAATTTTGCAAGCTCAGAGACTTGAAATTTTTGGTTTCTCAAAGTTGACAGGTATTGATATCATTGATTCAAAATGACAAACATTATAAGAAATAGTTTAGTAAAAACCATGTCTATTTCTTAATTTATAAAATTATATAACTGTCCAGTGAGCCAGACCAGCATGTTGTCTTTTCATTACGTTTTCTTCAAGGAGATAAGCTACATAGGAGCACACATAATCAGAAGTTTATAGGGAGAACACGAAGTCGGAAAGAGAAGAATTAATTTGTTGTAGGGAGAGCATGAAGCAGAAATTGGAAGAATCAATTTTAAGATGTATGGGCTTGATGTCATGAGATTAAAGAAGATAATGAGTCAGACTTCCAATATATGTGGATTATTCTTGACTTTAAAAACGTTGCAGGTTTCCTTCAGTGCCACTTTCCCAGCCAGAAATCTCTGTGGCCACCTCCGCCTGGGTCTCACTCAGGCCCTCTGGGCTCACTCTGCCCACTCAATCTGGCAGACGTGTGCCCCAGCCTGGATCCCGCACGCATCATGGCTCTGCACTCAGCCCACGGCTACACCAGGCAGGTGTGAGCAGCTTCCACACGGATGCCGCCATCTAGATGAGGGGAATGTAGTAAGGCCAAAAACCTGAGAGATGACAACAGTCACCGGGCCCCAGGCGGTGTTACAAATCTGAGCTCCCAAGAAATGTCATCACTTTCCACTCCCATAGCTCGAAAAGTGAAAGCTGTGAACTGTCAGCTCGGTTTTCCGGCTTTAAACTGCTTTGGGTTTGGAGATTGGGTTTCACCGGAATCCTGTCCCTGTCTGCCTAGGAATTTGTCTCCTGTCACTATCGCAACGAGACAGACTTGTCTCCTGTCACTATCGCAACAAGACAGGAGACAAGGGCACACATTTGCCTGGACAGGGCATGAGTGGGAACTGGATTGAAATAGTTGAACTTTGTCTGCCACGCCCCCAACAATTCTTATTGACATCTGCCTTGACCATTTCTTCTGCAATTAAGTAGTTGTATCTCTTCGCAAACCACTGGCCTCAGCTACTGGGGCCAACAGCGAGCACTTAACTCCAAACAACTGATCTCCAGGCCGATGATACATCTAATGACCACTGTGGGTTCTGGTTCAAAATGATGTGTTCATCGAACAGTTTTCTCTCTTAGAATTTTAAATGGGAGTAAGAATAGTGGCAGTATGCTGAAATTGAAACACTACATTTGTTCAAGGTAAGCAGAAAGCGTAAAAAGTAGAGGTTGTGTTGCCCAGTGCAGCAAAGAGAAGTCGGTTCACAAAGAAAAGCAATGTGAAAGAGACATACTCCTGATTATGTCTTTCTTTCTTTTTTTTAAAATTTCCCTAAGGCCATTTAAGAGACTTTCTGTATTTTACAATTTATATCCAAGTCAAATTAACACTGTTAATTTGGTGGAGCCCTACAATGCCACCCTCTCTGTTCACCAGCTCATAGAAAATGCAGACGAGACGTTCTGCATTGATAACGAAGCACTCTATAACATCTGTTCCAGGACCTTAAAACTGACCACACCCACCTATGGTGACCTGAATCACCTGGTGTCTGCTACCATGAGTGGGGCCACCACGTGCCTGTGCTTCCTGGGCCAGCTGAATGCCGACCTGCGGAAGCTGGCCGTGAACGTGGTTCCATTTCCCCGGCTGCACTTCTTCATGCCCGGCTTTGCCCCGTTGACCCGCCGGGGCAACCAGCTGTACCGGACCCTGACCGTGGCTGAGCTCACTCAGCAACTCTTCGATGCTAAGAATATCATGGCCGCCTGTGACCCCCGTCATGGCCGCTACCTAACTGTGGCTGCCATTTTTAGAGGTCGCATGTCCATGAGGGAGGTGGATGAGCAAATGCTCAACATGCAGAATAAGAACAGCAGCTACTTTGCTGAATGGCTCCCTCACAACGTGAAAACAGCCGTCTATAACATCCCACCCCGGGGACTAAAAATGTCGGCCACCTTCATTGGTAACAACGCAGTGATCCAAGAGCTCTTCAAACGCATCTCCCAACAGTTTACAGCTATGTTCAGGCGCGAGGCCTTCCTGCACTGGTACACGGGCGAGGGCATGGATGAGATGGAGTTCACCGAGGCCGAGAGGAACCTTAACGACCTGGTGTCAGAATACCAGCAATACCAAGATGCCACAGCTGAGGAGGAGGAGTTTGAGGAGTGTGCTGAGGAGGAGGAGGAGGTAGCCTAGAAAATTCCTTTTAACACTGTTAAAATGTCCCCTAAGAATTTTGTTTTTCTATTTTTTATTGCTTATCAATGCACATTTCCGATCCACACATTACCTATATATGTTAACATCAAGTTTTCTTCCACCTTAGTTATGCTTTCTTTTTCAACAAAACATTTTATTCTTTTATCACAGATTTATATTATGAGATAAAGGACAACCGAATTTCTCTTATTTCCATGTTCTTCAGTGATTGTATCTGTCTTCTCTCAATTTGCCTATAGTATATATTTAGTCACCAATGTTTCAATATTTATTTGTTCATTTGTAACTTAGCATTTATTGTAAATAAGTACAGTTTGATACAATACTTAACTTTAAACCAGAGATGCATTTAAACAATCTATATTTTAAAAATAATTATATCTACTTTTCTTTTCTTTTTTTTTTTTTTTTAAAGAAAGAGTCTTTGTTGCCTAGGCTGGAGTGCAGTGTGTAATCTGGGCTCACTGCAACCTCCATTTACTTGGTTCAAGTGATTCTCCTGCCTTAGCCTCACAAGTAGCTGGAATTACAGGCATGTGCCTGCTATTTTTTTTTGTTATTAACATTACTTTTTTTTAGTAGAGATGGCATTTCTCCACATTTGCCAGACTTTTCTCGATCTCCTGGCCTCAAGTGATCTACCACCTCAGCCTCCCAAAGTGCTGGAATTATAAGCATGAGCAACCTCAACTAGCCTAGTAATTTATTCTTAAGTAAGTTATGTTTTTTTAATAATATTTCAATATTTAATTTGTTATCAATTTAAAATTTTTAAAAATCAAAATGCAGTCATGCAGTTTATCAAATGTATAGGAACTTGAAAATACAATTAATGCATTTTTAGATTATAATCAATTGTTGTCTTACCAGTTACTTTTAACTTTATAAAATTTAAAACTCATGAAAGCCTGACAACATGTATTTGACACAAAGTAGTTTTACTTATTTTTACAAATGAATGGTATGAATTCAGAAATGGATTTCACTGCTTTTAAAAATGTGTCAATTGTTTTTCATTAATTGGAGTCAGAAGTCATTTTTAGCCATCTTACTCCTTTGAATTGATGCTTGTTTGTTGCCTAAGACCATACCGATGCATTTTCATTGCCTAAATTTGGTTGAAGAATGCTGGGTATACAAAGGCAAGCTACCACCTTAAATTCTCAGCTCAACATCTAAATTTCAAGGACGTTTTATTGTTGGCTGCTGCGCTAAATCTTAACTATATAGCAAATCTGAGGTAGCAATCCAGTCTATCAAAAAAATGAATAACACTTGATATAGTTTAGCTACGTCACCGCCCAAATCTTATCTTGAACTCCCACGTGTTGTAGGAAGGCCCTGGTGGGAGGTAATTGAATCATGAAGGCAGGTTATTTCCATGCTATTCTCATGATAGTGAATAAGTGTCACAAGATCTGCAGGTTCTAAAAATGGGAGTTTCCCTGCACAAGTTCTCTCTCTCTGTTTGCCTGCTGCCATCCATGTAAGACGTGACTTGTTCCTCCTTGCCTTCTGCCATGATTGTCAGGACTCTCTCCAGACATGTGGAACTGTAAGTCCATTAAAACTCTTTCTTTTGTAAATTGCCCAGTCTTGAGTATGTGTGTATCAGCAGCATGAAAATGGACTAATACAATACCTTAGTGTATGGATTTAGTAAAGTTAAAATTAAAAGGAAATTTTCAGATATTATTTTCTAGATATTAAAACATTTAGTATAAAAAAAATATTGTAATATAATTAACAACTAAGTTTTATCTTCCAGAATACCAGTAGAACCCTCAATAAGGTGACATGTTCATAATTTCATTCCTATCATCAATTTTAAATATCTCTTCTTAGCATCTACAGTTAAAAAGTGATATTGTTTATGAATAATTAGAATTAATGGTTAACTATTTAATACCTGTTAAGACTATTGATGTGTACTTTTTCTATCACATATATACACAAATATTTATTTATAATTTGTTTTTGATTCAAAATAATGACTAATTGGATCTCAAAGAAGTTGTCACTGTATATCCAAATATGTTACCATGCTCAATTTCTAAAATTAATAACAAAAGTACACATTTATATATAATACATGTTTGTTTTTATTAACCTTTTTTCTTTTTTTATTTTTATATGTTTTTATTTTTTTACTTTAAGTGAATACTATATATGGCATTTCTCCCCATGATTTCCCTCCCCCCCCCCCCCACCCCCCTCATCCCCCTTGTCTCTCCCTTACCCCCGCTCCGATTCTCCCCTAGACACGTTTCTGTAATACTCTACTAGGTTCAGTTGTCTACTCAGAAAACTTTTTGCTTCTCGATCACAAAAACCATATTGTTGTGTAGCCCAGTAACAGTTCATAACATTGATCACTGGTACTTTTAATACCAAAAGATATTCCTTGTTGTCTATTCATTTTATTAATAATTACAGTTTTAACTACTGGCTCATTGAACAATTACAGTTTTAATATTCTTTTAATATTTCCCTAAATAAAATATTGAACTTCTTAATTATTTTATAACTTTAACTCTCAGCAGGTAAATGATGAGGAGACACTGGTTTAGATCAAGTATTTTGTGTCTATACTCATGCTTCTAAGTCATCATTACCATATCCAATAACAATGAGAAATGGGAGTAGAAAATAATTGTTTTTTTTCAACTTAGATTTCTTGATTTGCAACTTCAATTTGGATGCATCTTCAATTTCACAAATAAGGTCTGAAGACCAGTTGGTTCTAATAAATGCTAGTATATGCTCTTTTAAAACATTCTTTAGCAAGAAATTTAGATACCACTATATATTATAATGTATGTGTATATAAGATTATATATTACATGTCTCTCTCTATATATATAAAACTATATGAAATTAGTTATATATAATACATAATAATGTTAAAGGCTCAGAAATATAATACTCATTTAATTTTGCTTATCCCATTTTATGTTAAACTTAGTTAACCTGGGAACATTATTTCCCAATAAAAATTTTAAGCATTTCATATGTTAAAGAATTTCCAAGAACACAGTTAAAAAAATTACTGTAATAATCTATACTTGATAAAACCACCCTGATGAATTCAAAATGTTCTATTTCAGAACATAATCCATAATGAATACATAACAGGCAGTTCGAACAACTTTATATACCATTTTGAGTGAAGAGTAAATACTAACTTTGACCTGACCTTATGAGCCAGACTGAATAGAACATGGTTTTACTACATAAGCATCCTTGAGAGCATATCCTGACTTTTGTATTATTAGAAATGAAAGTAAAGACTACATGCAATAAAGTGTTCTCTTAGTGTATACCAAAGCAAAGCTTTTATGACTCCAAGCTCTTAAAAGTAAAATGTGTACTTTTAAAAGTTGCAGATTTCTCAAGGACTAAACTAAGCATTTTCTTAAGTGAATGCATTTTTCTCTTGTATGGTTTCAGTGACCCTCTCAAACATTTTAGGAAGACTATTCACACGTGGTGGTTTATTGTCCATGAGAACACCATTTAAGTCATGGGAAATAAACAGTTTCCAACCAACAGACTGAGTCTTCTGAAAGTTCAATTTAAGTTTCTTATTTGATATTCTGAATTTCAGTTTCCTTTAGGAACAAGGTTGGCACTAGCTAGGCAACACAATACATCAGACAGTTAACCAGGACACCTCATCACCTTTTATAAAATGATTCTCTGTGTTAAAAGTTAAGCAACCATGGCACTAAAAATAGCTTTCTTACTTTCTAGTGTGAACTGATGTGTAAGCATCAAATTAAATATCTTGGACAGGCATTCTACTTACTGTGGGGGAAAGTCACATCTCTGGAATCAATCTGAAATAAATTCCTATTTATCCAACTCCAAAATATGTGCAGGTAACTAGACAACAAAAATGTACTGGTTTAAGTATGAAGGTTGTACCAATCTGTTTTTAATGTTTTTCAAATACATTTAGGTAGGATGAACATTATCTTTATTAGTGCCCCTTAATGTTTTGTAATCTGTACACCCTCCAACAATTCATCAAAGTCAGTGAATCAGTTTCCCAGAAAGATAAATATTACATTTCAGGAGGCTCACAGGTACTGAAAGACAACTAGTGTTAGTGTGTTTTTTTAAATAAAATTAGGGACCATTATATTAAAGCATTAAGAATTATACATTATTTTCTGCATTGTTATAAGTTTCTGCCTGAATATCATTTTCTAATAAATGTATATAACTACATCAATTTATTTTTTTATAATTTGAAAAATAATTAATATGTGACACCAAGGGAGGAGAAATTTCCTAAAATATCTAATAAAATCTTGTAAAGATTACAGACTAGTGATGGTAAGATACAAAAGATATCAAGGAGGTTATATATACACATACACACACACACATATATATTATTTACAAGGTTATCCTTGGAAATTTATGTGTTTCAATGCCAAGTAGATTAGTCCTGTAACTTTCTATGATCCTTTCCTTTCAAATCCCATCCATAAAATATGGGTGGTTCAATTTCAGGTGGGACTGAAAGCGTATAAGATTAAATTATGGAGTGTGGCAGACAATATCTTCTTGTAGCCTATAAGAGTCTTCATTGGAAATAGACCCCTTTGAGTCAGGATTAAATAGTGACTACGCTGGTTTCCCATTTGACACTTTGATCTTATAAGGAAAATAAAATATCCCAGCTTATTCAAATCAGATTGATCCTTGTCTTCTATTAAATTATAAACCCAAAATCTTCAAATACTGTATTAAAAAAAAAAGTATCAAGACCCTGAGAACAATAAAGTTAAATTTTATTAAATAAGTATTTTAGACTTGAAGCAATATTCATAATCCCACGCAGAGATTTTGCTAGTGAATTGGACATAGCCATCAACATCTTCTACCCAAATACATTGATAAGATAAGATATTCTGTCAGTTGATTTGGGCATAGAGAGAACAGGAAAGGTGATTCACTCTCCTTTGCACAC